TATAAAAAAACAAAACAAAACAAAAAGATAAAATTCCCAGTGTCCATGAACTTGGAAGGAAAAAATGTCTTTATTTTCACTAACCTCTAATTAAAATTTAGCATTCCTGTCAGTTATATGTGTTGACAACAAGTTACAGAAATATAAGCAGTACCTATGACTTTGTCACCCATAAAAACATAAATATTTTCATATCACTATTGCATCATTCCAAAATATCTTTTACTCCTATCCCCCTCCTCCCTCCCTTCCACTCTCTCTAGAAATCAATGGGGAAAAAATATCCTCAGGTGAGGGTTAAAAAAAAAGTATATATTCAATGGAGGGGAAAAAAGAGACATGTGTACTACTATTAGTAATACTTTAAATAAGAAAATAAAATTTTAAAATAAAGTATAGATTGATCAATCACATAACTGCATCTAACAATATAGCTTCAAAAATATAAAGCAACAACTGATAGGAATACATGAAAATATTACATATATATGTATATCTACACTAATAAAAGAGAAACATGGTAATTAGCGTACGACCGCTACCCTTCCCATTGGCTAATCAGCATATCCTTATGCAAATTAACTGTCAGCCAAGATGGCGGCTGGCAGCCATGCACTGAAGCGAGCAGGGAGGCTTGCTTGCTCCAGTGACGGCTGACTCCAACGTTCCCCGCCTGCCACTGCCGGCCTCTCAGCTGCAACTCTAAGCAACTATGTACTATGTTGCAAATATAGAAGCTAAACAAAACCCCAGAAACCGGCTTTCATTCAGCCGGGCTTCAGCCAGCCGGACCGCAACATTGTATCGATGTTTTCAGCAGCGAGACCTCAGAGCTAAAGCTGGCCCAGAATAAAAAAAGAAAAAGAAAAAAAGGAGCGGTTGGGAGCTTCAGTCACCCGCTTCCGGAAAACAGCCCTCAGTCCCTCACCCAGACTGGCCAGGCACCCCAGTGGGGACCCCCACCCTGATCCAGGACACCCTTCAGGGCAAACCAGCCAGCCCCTACCCATGCACCAGGCCTCTATCCTATATAGTAAAAGGGTAATATGCCTCCCGGCACAGGGATCAGCGGAGCAGCGAAGCTCCTGGCACCGGGATCAGCGTGACAGGGGGCAGCGCCCAAACCCCCTGATCAGCCCTGCCCTGTGCCTGATAGGGGGGAGCTCCCCAATCCCCTGATCACCCTTCGGCTCTGTGTTTGACAGGGTGCGGCGCACCAACCCCCTGATTGGCCCCTCTCTGTGAGTGACAGGGGACAGCGCCCCAACCCCCTGATCGGCCCTACCCTGAGCGTGACTGAGGGTGGCATTGCAACCTTCCGATCCGCCCTGCTCTGTGCATGACGGGGCGGCACCCCAACTCCCCAATTGGCCCTGCTCTGAGCCTGACCAGGGGCTGCACCTAAGGATTGGGCCTGCCCTCTGCCACCCGGGAGCAGGCCTAAGCCAGCAGGTCGTTATCTCCCGAGGGGTTCCAGACCTAAGCCAGCAGGTCGTTATCTCCCGAGGGGTTCCAGACTGCGAGAGGGCACAGGCCGGGCTGGGGGACCCCCCTCCCCCCCCAGTGCACAAATTTTTTGTGCACCGGGCCTCTAGTGTGTATATATATTAGAGGCCCAGCACACAATGTCGCAGAAGACCCAGACCCACTGAGCCAGCGGAACCCAGACTGAGTCCCGCTGTGCCCTGGGACCCAGAGTCAAGTCCCCCCCACCAGTGCGCATCTCACCTTGCACACAGCCTCCTGGTGACCAGTCTTTGGTCGTTCCGCCGTGACGGCTTCATGACCACAGGGTTTTTATGATAGAGATATACACACAATACACGCACACATATAAAATGAATAACTGAGTTGGAGATTTTAACGAGCTTCTTCAGTATCTATCTTAGGGTGAAGATTACATGAAATCATTCAAATCATGCATTTAGCACAGGCCCTGGCACATGGAAAGCTCTAAATCAGAGTGAGCTGCTATCATGAATAACTGTTCCTTGAATGAGTAAGCAAATGAGTGGTATCTGAGCTCTAACATGGAGACTCTGGGTGGTTCCTCTCACAGAGGAAAGGCCTGGGGGTGGGCATGGGGAGGGCTTTAGAGCCTTGACAATCTCCACCACTCAAAACATCTTCCTCGGCCGAAACCGGTTTGGCTCAGTGGATAGAGCGTCGGCTTGTGGACTGAAAGGTCCCAGGTTCGATTCCGGTCAAGGGCATGTACCTGGGTTGCGGGCACATCCCCAGTGGGAGATGTGCAGGAGGCAGCTGATCGATGTTTCTCTCTCATCAATGTTTCTAGCTCTCTATCTCTCTCCCTTCCTCTCTGTAAAAAATCAATAAAATATATTAAAAAAAAAAAAAACATCTTCCTCGGATATTCCTATTCTTTGGGCTGGATAATGAATGTCTTAATTTTCTGTAGATAGGAGATTAAAGCAATGTTTAGAAAATGTTGTATTATTGGTCTATAACTTAGCTCTAAGCAAGTTCCCAGGCCCACTCTCCCCTTCCATCCAGATGGCCCAAGCCCCTTCTGTAAGGATTCTGGAACCCCCGCTGTCTCTAAAGGTACATATCGCTGGGTTTGCAATGGGCACTGTCCCCATTTATGACCTTGTGAAGGTAACGAGCTCTGAAGGTGCCAAAGGCCACTATTAGCCTGGAGGTGATCAAAGTTCCCTGGCATAGGGAGCCTGGACAGGGCTGGGCTGAGAAGGCATGAGTCAAGACAGGGCAGGGGACAGGAACAGGACTGCATGTTGAGGTGTCTGACAGGCCTGGCCGGCCAGCAGGGCCCTCTTCCCAGTTGTAATTATACTTGGCTGAGATTATTAGAATCATTCCCATGTCGAGTGGGCACATAGGGAGCCAGGACATCCTTCACTTTCTTTGCTAGATCTGGGTGGGGAGGGGCCTTCAGGATGCCTGGACCGTGCAGGGATAGAGGCAGGGGGCATTCCCCCTGGTCCTTCGCCAGCCCTGCCTCAGATCCAGGAAACTGGTCTAGATGTCAAAGATACAGATCCGGGAGAAACACGCCAGAGCAGGGGGTGGGACCAGCTGCTTCTCTGAGGGCTGGATGTTTGGGAAGAAGGTGAAGAAATCTGAAGGGCATGGGTTTTGGGAAGGGAGGAGGAAATGAGGCAAACTTGCCCAACTCTACGGAGGCCCAGCTCAGTCTCTGTGTGATTAAGAGCTCAGGACACAGGAGCCAGGCAGCAGAACACAGAGATGTCAGCATACAGGACATGGAGATGTTGCCTCACTTCCTCCCACCCCCTGCTCCTCCCACTTCCCCTCCCCCACCCCACCCAAACCCTCAGAGAAGCCACTGATTCAATCCTCGCTGAGGGTCTGGGGACATTTGGATGCCTCTGGACACCCTAGCTGGTGTTCTGCCCTCCCTACGTCACTCAATGACAATAACCCAATTTTCATGGAATCACAAAGAGTGGTCACATCAGGATGCCCCAGGATCCTCCAACCATGTTTGCTCTACACACATTATCTCATTCAATCCTAACTCTGCCAGATACCATTAGTGAATCCATTTTACAGATGGAAAAACTGAGCTTAGAGAGGTGGTATTAACTTCCCAAGGTCATATGGCTTCCCAAGGTTAATGGCAGATCTGCAACTCAAACTAGGGTCTGCTAAACGCATCACTACCCCTGAGAGGGTTAACTTGAAATGCAGGCAGACAGGGCAGGGCTCCAGTGGAAAACAAAGGCAGGTGAATCATAGGCAGGGGCAGACATGGGCGTTTGAGCAGCCGGAACCACAGGAACCAAACAAGCAGAAATCATAAAATGTTTCTGGACTCAAAGCGGGAGGCATGGGAAACCAAGGGAGGGCTTGCAGGAAACAAATGTACGAACACATAGAAACAGAAAAAGTTCAGCACAGGAACAGAGAAAGAACACACAGAAACAGGGAAAATTTAGGTCCGGTGCTGAGCCAGAACAATTGAGGGAATCAATCAGGTGACGACACACATAGACATAGAAGCAGGCTTGTGGCAAATATACACCCTGGACTACAGGGCTTTCACGGGCAGCCCACGATCGGGTCCCCTCCCTTTGCGGGGAGTCTGAATCTGCTTGTAATAAATTTTCCACACGTGGCTTAAATCTTCTGGTCCGATAGCTCATTCTTCAGCATCGCCAACACCTCGGCTCACCGTTCGGGTTATCGTCCCCACCGCAGAGAGGAGGAAACTAGCTGAGAGGTCAAGAACCTGCCTACAGTTGTCCATGTGGAAGGTGGTGAAGTCAGGATGCAAACCCATTTCTTTTACCGCCACCCCAATATTCGTTTTGCCTGAGAGATGATCTCAGAGGTTCCCTCCAGCTGAGATACTTTTAAAAGGTATATGTATTTCTATTGATCTCAGAGAGGAAGGGAGAGGGAGAGAGAGAGAAACATCAATGATGAGAGAGAACCATTGATTAGCTGCCTCCTGCACATCCCCTACTGGGTGGGGATCAAGCCGGCAACACGGGTACGCCCCCGCCCCCAACAGGAATCGAACACAGGACCTTTCGGTTTCTAGGCCGATGCTCTATGCACGGAGCCAAACCGGCTGGGGCCAGCTGGGGTGCTTTTCAATTCTGGGTTGAGACAGGAACAGGTTGAAAGGTCGCCCCAGGTGAAAATGAAGAAGTAGCTTGGTCTCACTCCCGCGCTCAGGAAACCAGTGTAGCTGCGCCGGCCCTGCCCTTTCAGCTCCATCCCTTCCCTCCGCGAAGGCGAGACCCTGTCCCTCCACCAGCAGGACTTCCGAGCCGTCCCTCCGACCCTCCCCGCGGCGACTTCTCTAAGGAGAGTGTCCATGGTCCCCTGGCCCACCGCCCATCCGTGTGTCAGCAGCGAGCGTGGCCCCGGAAGAGCGTTGAGCCACGCGCGGGCAGTCACGTCCTTCCACGCCCGGACACACACCCCCCACCCCCATCCCCCCACCCGGGGGCGGGGCGGCTCCGCTCCCTGCGCTGGCCCCGCCCGCATCTCCGAAGGTGCCTCGGGGAGCCTCTGGGCAGGAATCCACCCCGGGGGGAGGAGCCGCCCTGGGAGTGGGGACGCAGCCCAGCCGCGCCGCTACCTCCCCTGTCTGCTCCGCTAGCCCCCGGGGACCGCCATGGCCCAGAAGCGTCCTGCCTGCGCCCTGGACCCCGAGGACATCCAGCTGCTGGTGCTCTGCTCCCAGGAGGCCAAGAAGTCCGCGTACTGTCCTTACAGCCACTTCCCCGTGGGGGCCGCCCTCCTCACCCGCGACGGCAAGATCTTCTTAGGTAAGGGCCAGGGAGATGGCCCGGGGGGGCCCCTCCGAGACGGCCTCTGGGGGGGAGAGGAGGAAAAGCCGGAAGGGGTGGGACGCTCCAGACGGTAAGCGCCCAGCTCTGCCCCCCTCTTGGCTGAGTCTCCCCTATATGCCACTCGCCCCTGCCCTGCCCAGTGTCCCAGACTGTGGGCGTGAAGGTGCTGCTCAAATCTAGGGGCTTTCAGTGCTTGGAAGACCTGAAGGAGGAAGTGGGGGGGGGGGGAGTGCGGCCAGCTGGCCCGGCCATGGCACATTCAGCCCCAGGGCGCCTTGTGTGCCACGCCAGCTCCTCCTGGTTCAGCGGCCCTGAGAGGGGGCGGCGACAGAGTGAGAAAAGACAGACAAGAGAATAAAAGCTGGGTCTAGGTGGGCTGCTGCTCCCGGATGCCGAGACCCCGCCACCGTGTCTTTATTTTATAGCAGATTTCACCAGGCAAAGTTAGGGTGTTGTCAAGATGTTTGCAACATTCTCATTGGTTTCAATTCTACTCAACTACGTGCATCTGAACTCTATCAAGTCCACATCACTCAAGCACGTGGTGTCCTGACGATAGGTTCAAGCTTACAACTATAGCGGTTGGCTATCATTGTGCTGGGAGGGCTCTGCCCTCCAAGCTGGGACTTGCACTGGCCATGAGAGGACTGTGCCCTCTCATTAGTCCGAGGCTTGAACCTGTCCAAACACTGTAGCGGCTCTCCACAGGAAGGAAGCTGGAAGGGAAGGCGAGAATCAAGAGCATCAGCAGTCCCGGGTGCTGGGAGGGAGGGTACTGTCCGAGCCCTCCTCTGGGTGCTGCACCTGCTAGGGCTTCCACAAGTTACATCAGCACGTAGGCGGTATGTCCAGTTCTCAGGGAAGAAACTGAGGCCCAGGGAGGTGACATGACTTGTTCAAGGTCACACGGGGCGCTGGAGGTGGAAGCCAGGGCAGAGGGTCTTGGAATCCTGATTTCTTCCTGCCACCCTCCGTCCTGGGAGATGGCTGTAGGCAAAGCAAGGAATCCGGGTGGGGCGACTTGTTAATGAATGGGGTGCAGAGGGTCTTGGAGGAAAGAAGCAGGGCAGGGGGGGAGGGGTGTTGAGTGACCAGCAATGAATGCCAGCCTGGGGAGGTGAGCACAGGAATCTGAGTGAGTTAGCGCTAAGCTCTTTTTCTTTGGCTTGTTGGTTTGATAAGAAAGCTCACTTGAGCAAAAATTCAAACTTGTTTTTGCTAAGCGGGGGCATTCTCTTTTAGGGCAGTGGGGAAGGTGGTGTGGAGGTGGGAGAGAAGCCATGCCCCCTCCACCCTTGCCATTTCCACCACCACTCAGAGGGCAGGTGACAATTGGCACAGAGGGACCCAAGGGACTGCCCCGCCGACAGCTATTTAAAGGACCGGAGGCCCACACTTGTACATCTATCTAATCCCAGCAGCCCCAGGGCAGGTGTGAGCCACTCCTCCCTCTACTGCTCAGCTCTGCATCCAGCCGGGGCGCCCCCCACACCTCCCCTTCTGTAGCGCCCCTTCTGGGTTCTCCTATGTTATTTCTTTTTTCTTTTTCTTTTTTTTTTTTTGGCTTTTTCACGTTTTTTTTATTATTATTATTTCTTAAAGTATTACAAAGAGTATTACACCTGTCTCCTTTTTTCTCCCCCTTGACATTCCCCCGGCTTCCCCCACCCCCCAGTGTCTTTTTTTTTATTTTTATTGTTTTATTGCTTAAGGTGTTACAAAGAGTATTACACATGTCTCCTTTTTACTCCCCCTTGACATTCCCCCGGCTTCCCCCACCCCCCAGTGTCTTGTGTCCATTAGTTATTCTCATATGCATGCATACAAGTCCTTCGGTTGATCTCCTACCCCCCCAACCCTCCTCAGGGTTCCCACTGTAGTTTGACATTTTGCTCAATGCTGCTCTGCCTCTGTATCCATTTTTGTTCATCAGTCTATAATGTTTCTTATTATCCATAAATGAATGAGTTCATGTGGCATTTTTCTCAGCTTCCCAGGGGCCGTCTCAGTCTCACAGGGGCCGTCTCAGTCTCACAGGGGCCATCTCAGTCTCACAGGGGCTGTCCCCCTCCTATGTTATTTCTTGTCTTTTGAGGTTCTGTGTGGGATTCATGAGTCACCTGGGTCTTAAACATCTTTGAACAGGAAAAGGAACCTGAGTGAGGGCTGGTATGTGAAAGGCTCGAGGCTAGTGTTATCCATCTCACCCTTACAACCCTTCCAGGCAGTTATTACAGCACCGATTAGCAGAGCAGGGAACAGAAGCCCAAGACCACAGAGCTGGGATTGGAACCCAGAGTTCCCCTGACTCCCACGCCTGCTACTCCATAGGGAATAAAGAATCGTGTGGAAATTCAGGCTGGCCTGGTGGCTCAGACGAGTATTAACCGTTAACCACCACCACAAACAACATTGCAACCCACACTGCCCCATGGCACCAGGGCCTTGAACATGGAATCGGCCACTGATTCTTCCCAGTGCCTCCACATTTTCTCTTCATCCTTTCATTGGTTAATTTATTCAACAAACATTTGCCAAGCACCAGTTATGTGCTAGGTAATGTACCGGGAGCCGGGAACAGCACTGTGAGCAGAAACGGCACAGTCCTTTAGTCCAGGGAGGTCCCCTCCTCTTGTACAGCCGCAACCAATGATTGTAGGAGTGAATGAATGAGGGGAGCGGGAGCGTAGTAGACTATTTAAATTGCAGGGAAGGACCGGGTATCACTAGAGATGGGGCTGTGCCCTGGGCATGGAGGGAGGTCCTCGGAGAGGCTGAAGGCTCTGAAGTTAGAGGCTCCTGCATTTGAATCCTGGTGCTTCTGTTTATCAGCTGTGTGCCCCCGGGGAAAGACCCTTGAGCCTTCTGAGTCTCCACTTACATTTGTACACCGGGGGTCATAATGGCCGCTTTTCAGGATGGCTGTGATCAGAGCTGGCTTGCCCGCCCCGGTGTGGCAGCCAAGGTCTTCCCTGATTTTGGGTGCCCGTCTGCCCCCATCACTGACAGTGTTGAATCTCACCCCGATTGTGAGGCTTTAAAGGAGCTAATGCCCATAACGTGATTGGCACAGTTTCTGGCTGGCAATAAGAAGGTCACAAATGGTGGCTGTTTCTACCGCTACTGTTGACAGTGTGATGAAAGTGACGATATGGTACTGCATGCGCAAGCAACCTGGAGAGACTTTGACAGCACAGGTGGACTTTGACAGCACAGGTCAGCATAATGCCCGCAGCTGCCACTCGCCTTCCTAGGACAATAATAATAAAATGATGATATGATGACTTGGAGGATTGTGGAGGACTTTGGAAGGCCAAGTAGAGATATTGAGATTTGATGAGGTAGGACATAGGGAGTCAAGGAATGTTATTAAGGAGAAGAGTAGCATGAAACTGGTGTTTGTGGACAATTAGTCTGACATGTACTCAAGGAGGGTTGGGCCAGAGAAAAGAGTGTCAGAGGGACCATGTCAATCTTGTTTGCTCATCTGTCCACAGTGC